ATGTCAATTATACTGGAGATTTTTTTTTTCAGTCACTTCAGTCAATATTTGGCTCACTACATGTTTAAATATAAACAGTACATCTGTGATTCTAGTAAATTATCATTTTATATGGGTTTATTGCCAGGGTCTCAAAGTTAAAGGGTTACTCCAATCACCATAACAACTTCAGTGATTTGAAGTAGTCGTGGTGCTTGAAGTCTATATGGGCAGTGTCTGCGTATTAAATGCTGCACACACTGAGCTTAACCCCTTTGCTGCCAGAAATGTAACCCAGTTAATGCTCTTAACCAATGAATGAGCGGCAAGACTAGCATCCATGTTCTGCAGCTCTGAGAACCAGCGCCTGACTGAAACCAAGGTAAGAGTTTGTACCATTACCGGGAATGAGGCCAGGGTACTCCAACCACCATAACAACAACCACAAAAGCAGACCATAACCTTTTAATAGTCTAAGGTGTTAAAGTTACATTCACAGCACGATAACGCAGCTTAATAATCACTCAAAGGGTTATTTACTAAAGTAGCAATTCAGAACTCATTTTAAAATTCAAGGCCGAAAATATTTTTCTAAGTTCACCTATTTTGGCCTTGAACTTAAATTTCACTTTGAATTCTCACTTTAGCCTGTCAGTGTTAAAGGGACACACTAGTACTATAACCACTACAGCTTACGGCAATGGTTATGGTGAAAGCAGTCCTTGGCCGCTCACCCACAGCAAAGCCCCTCGGTTGTTGCCAAGATGATTCAGAGGTTTCATCCCTGAATCCCTGCATATGTGTACTAATTCATCCAAATCTAGATGGCAGTGATAGTCTGGGAGCATGGCGAAAGGGGAGGGGGGTTGGCATTAGCACAGCATTTGCAATGATTTTTTTGCAATGATCAATCCTGTATTTTATCGACTACAAACCTTTGGCCAATTATATGATTTTTATCAAGACTCCATAATTCTGGGAAATTAAGTTCAACAAAATTTGGAAAACTATGGATGGACACCTCTTTTTCGGACCGAAAGCTCCATAGAGTATCCTACATGCACGAATTTGTTTTGTTTCTAGAAATTTGCATATTGTGTTTATCCATTGCAGATTATATGGGAACGTTATGTACTGAGAACAATTAGAATGACAGGTACTTGTTTAGTATATGGAAATTTCTGAGTACGTTTTAAAAAGTGAATACATATTGATCCCACAGCACAACCTAGTGGTAACAAAGAGTACAGCAAAATCCTTAAATAATTCTGATTTTTCAAATAATTTTAGATTTTTGCTGAATTGGAAAAGCACTTTTTTTCTATAAGATGAGTTCAGAGACTTGTAATATTGGCAACATTGGATTTAAACTCTGATGTTTAATAGATACCATTTTATTAGTGAATGTAACGGAGAGCTAGAGGCAGGAAAGTGATGACACAATTTGCTAAGCTGTAATATGTTTAATTTTTAAAAATGGTTTCATCAAAGGATGTCCTGGAAATCAGGACATACACCTGAGAATCTGCCCCATTGCCATTAGATTGGCATAAAAACAGTGAAAGTGAACTATTAAGAAACACAACGTGAAATCAATGTTCAAATTTTAGGCCACATTTCATACTTTAATAATCAAATTCTCCGTAACGAGTTTGCCTATTTTAGAATATAATGTGAAATTCACTTTTCATTTATGTTAACCCTGTGAGATTCTAATGTTTAATCACTAAGCTGCAAACTGTGGAGAATTGACACAGCGATTTTAAAATTTAGGGCAAAATTGGAGATTGTTAAAAATACTCTGAATCAATTATTAAAGGGACACTATAATCACCAAAACTACTTTAGCTTAATCAAGCAGTTTTGGTGTATAGATCATGCCTCTGAAGTTTCACTGTTTAATTATCTGTCATTTAGGAGTTAGATAACTTTTGTTTCTGTTAATGCTGCCGTAGCCACATTTACTCTGACCTGGGGTGAGCCACCATTTCAAGCTACCCATAATGCTACTGAGCGGTGTCTGTGCTTCCAGTCTCCATATATCCCTGGGTGAGCCCCAGCAGTCATTATTTCTGCCAATTACTTGATAAGTGGCTATTTTACGCCCATTGGAAGTGGTCTATTCAGCCATTTTGTGTCAGTGTCAGTGTCTAAGTGGTAACTTTATTGGGTGAGCCTTAATATTATTCGAAAGTACAAAAATTACCAAAATGAGTTATGAATATGGAAAACACACAAAACCCCACTGATCTACAATATCTGACCAACGCGGCTGTCGCCTCAGTGGAAAAAGCACTCGCAAAAGCGTTTCTGAGCCTACCAAACCGGCACCTAAACATCCCCATTACATGGATGACTCAGACGAGTCGGAATTAACTCGCCCGGTGAAATACCATTGGAAGGGAAAAGAGAACCAGTCATGGCCTAGCAAGGAAAAAGCACCCCTTTAACGTAGTAAATGTACTACACATTCGGTGCCACCGCCTACATGTGAGGTCACCTCAGACGAGGAGCACAAATTACCCCGCTCACTCTCCATTCTCAGGCAGAAGCCTATGATTCAGAGGACATGGCTTGTGGTTCCACCTCCTATGTGAAGGAGACATTTCTGGGTGAGCCACAGATTATGGAAAGAACAGACGGAGTTGCGGAGGCTTCCGACCAACCAGGGAATGAGGTCTTCCTTGACCCGACAGGTCAAGGATGTTCAACCCATGAAACATTCGTCATCCTCGTTCAGGTGACAGAGACCCACAGAAAGGGGTCGAACTGGGGCTTAAGGAAGCACAAGACAAGCTGCGCAGCTTGCCCGAGCAATGTTTTTGACAGATGACGCCTACTCCTGGGTTCTGAAAAAAATAATTGTTGCTCTACATAAAGATGGCCTAGGCTTTAAGAAGATTGCCAAGATCCTGAAACTGAGCTTCAAAACGACCATACAACGGTTTCATAGGACAGGTTCCACTCAAAACAGGCCTCACCATGGTCGACCACAGAAGTTGAGTGCACGTGCTCAACGTCATATCCAGAGGTTGTCTTTGGGAAATAGACGTATGAGTGCTGCCAGTATTGCTGCAGAGGTCAAAGATGTGGGTGGTCAGCCTGTCAGTGCTGAGACCCACACTGCATCAAATTGGTCTGTATGGCTGTCGTCCCAGAAGAAAGTCTCTTCTAAAGAAGATGCACAAGAAAGCCAGCAAACAGTTTGCTGAAGACAAGCAGACTAAGGACATGGATTACTGGAACCATGTCCTGTGGTCCGATGAGACCAAGATAAACTTATTTGGTTCAGATGGTGTCAAGTGTGTGGCAACCAGGTGAGTAGTACAAAGACAAGTGTGTCTTGCCTACAGTCAAGCATGGTGGTGGGAGTGGCATGGTCTGGACCTGCATGAGTGCTGCTAGCACTGGGGAGCTACAGTTCATTGAGGGAACCATGAATTTCAACATGTACTGTGACATACTGAAGCAGAGCATGATCCCCTCCCTTCGGAGACTGGGCCGCAGGGCAGTATTCCAACACGATAACGACCCCAAACAGAGCTCCAAGATGACTACTACCTTTCTAAAGAAGCTGAAGGTAAAGGTGATGGTTTGGCCAAGCATGTCTCCAGACCTAAACCCTATTGAGCATCTGTGGGACATCCTCAAACAGAAGATGGGGGAGTGCAAGGTCTCTAACATCTACCAGCTCCGTGATGTTGTCATGGAGGAATGGAGGAAGACTCCAGTGGCAACCTGTGAAGCTCTGGTGAACTCCATGCCCATGAGGGTTAAGGCAGTGCTGGAAAATAATGGTGGCCACACAAAATATTGACACTTTGGGCCCAATTTGGACATTTCCACTTAGGGGTGTACTCACTTTTGTTGCCAACGGTTTAGACATTAATGGCTGTGTGTTAAGTCATTTTGAGGGGACAGCAAATGTAAACTGTTATAAAGGCTACATTGTAGCAGAGTGTAATTTCTTCAGTATTGTCACTTGAAAAGATATAATAAAATATTTACAAAAATGTGAGGGGTATACTCACTTTTGTGAGATACTGTGTAATACACCTGGACGACATACTGCTTTTTTGCAAAGTCCAAATACAGCTCGTGGTTCACACCAATTATACAGTGGCGTTTCTGGAATCTCTGGGATTTGTGGTCAATTGAATCAAATCTGCATTTGTTGTGGCTCAGATGATCCAGTTCCTGGAGATCGACATAGGCTCCTGTACACTGCAACTCCCTTCAAAGAAGAATTCTGTGATTCTTACAGAGATTCGCAAGGTGCTCCATCCAGAGTCTTTTCCGCTCAGACTCCTCGCCCATATAGTGGGTCCAGTGGCGTACACATGACCCATGGGGCCCCGGTGCGAAAATTGAGCCGTGGGCCCCCCCGCGCTTACTCGGTGCAGGTCGGGGCCGCAACACATGGCGGCGGGCACCTGGTCGCAGGGGTTGAAGGGCTGCGACCAGCCGACCGCGGTATGCACACACACTTAAAGGACCACTACAGACACCCAGATCACATCAGCTCAATGAAGTGGTCTGGGTGCCAGGTCCCTCTAGTTTTAACCCTGCAGCTGAAAACATAGCAGTTTCAGAGAAACGGCTATGTTTCACTGAGGGTTAATCCAGCCTCTGGTGGCTGTCTCATTGACAGCTGCTAGAGGAGCTTCCTCGATGCAAATCACATTGAGAAGACACTGAACGTCCATAGGAAAGCATTGAGTAATGTATATCCTGTATGTAGGAGAGCAATGAACAAAAATAAATAAAATGCAATAAATATATCTATATATCTATATATATCTAACTCCATTCAGTAATATGTGGAAGGTGGATACTTATAGATAAAATCCTAATACATGCAGTCATTTCTATAGCAGGCCATGACACCACTGCTGCTGACTACATTTCCCGTGATGCTTTGTAGATGCTTTGTAGAAGCCTAAAAAGAAATATAACCCTGTGGCTGGAGAGAGTCAGCCTGATTACACTCAGAACCAGCGAGCTCTGTCCTCCACGGGCACGAGCGGCACGCTGCGAGGCGGCCGCTCTAGCCGCCCTTCTTGCACTCTATGGTGCTTTTTCCGGAAGAGTGCGTCAGGACTGTAACGTTCCCCGTGCCGGTAGCGTGCGACTTGTAACGCTCTCAGGAGCAGGGGCCCCCCAGCTGACACCAGGGGCCACGGGCGCTCAGCCACCATACACTCCGACCCAGGGGCCTCCTGTCACCGCGGGCAGCCGCCTGCTCGGCTATTACCGGGCTATTACCGGGCTATTACTGGGCTAGCCGTGACTGTGTCCCCCCCACCCCCCCCCATATATAATAATACCCCCCCCCATAAATAATAATAATACCCTCCCAGCCCCCCATTACATAGACCCTAATAATACCAACCTCGCCCCCCCATTATTAATACTCCCCATTATATATAATAATAATACCCCCATTACATAGAGAGACCCTAATAATACCCCCATTACATAGAGAGACCCTAATAATACCCCCATTACATATAATACTAATACCCCTCCCCCCCCCACCGGCCTGTACTGGGTTAATGAGAGCTCAGTATAGACCCTGATTATACCCCTCATACCTACAGACCCTGGTTATAGCCAGAGACCACCAGCTTAACCCCCAATTACATCCACAGACCCTGATTATACCCCTCATACCTACAGACCCTGGTTATAGCCAGAGACCACCAGCTTAACCCCCAATTACATCCACAGACCCTGATTATACCCCTCATACCTACAGACCCTGGTTATAGCCAGAGACCACCCATTGCCATATTGCCACCCCCATCTATAGACCCTGACCCCCATTACTAATACCCCCATCTATAGACCCTGACCCCCATTACTAATAGCCCGGCTTCACCTGACATAGATCTACCCACCCTTCTCCAGACCCTCTGGAAGTCTAATTCCTACAGACATTAACCTTTCTAGAACTGTCTGATCTCAAACTCTCCACAAACTCCTGCCTCCAAGTGCCCCCTGGTTTCTCCCTCCTGCACTCTGCCCTAGCTCTCAACCAGCCTCTCCTTCCTGTCCAAACTCTTCCCCAGCTTCTCCCTCCTATCTCCAAGTGCCCTCTAGTTTCTCCCTCCTGTCCTAACCCCCCCTTCTGCCTCCTGCCCTAGCTCTCAACCAGCCTCTGCTTCCTGTCCAAACTCTTCCCCAGCTTCTCCCTCCTATCTCCAAGTGCCCTCTAGTTTCCCCCTCGTGTCTCTCCAGCTGTCCCCCAGCATCTCCCACCTGTTTAACAGCTCTGACCCTTCTCTCCAACTGTCCTCCGGGTTCTCTCTCCTGTCTCCCAGCTCTCCTGCAACTTGTCCCTCCTTTCTCCAATTCTCCACATTATCCATTTTTGTCCCAACCCCTTCCAGCTTCTCACTCCTGTCTCAGAATCCCTTGCTGTCCTGATCCCTTTATTTTAGTACACCTTCTCCTAGAGGTCTTCAACATAAAACCCAGTTTCTGCCATACTTTCTAATTAATTGTCCCTTTAAGGACATAGGATATCTGCTCCTGTGACTAGATTATTTTCGCAGATATTTTTCTTCCACCCAAAGCTACACTTTTTCTGTTTTACAAATATGGCCTCTCAGAGAGGAAAATCCATGGACTTGGAGCATAACTGTGTTTTGTGCTGTCAAGAGGTGGAAATTTATGCTGTTGGGAAGTGTGATCACCCTATCTGCTACCGCTGTTCTACCAAGATGAGAGTATTGTGTGAACAGAAGTACTGTGCTGTGTGCAGAGAGGAACTGGACAAAGTAAGTATAGAAACCTTTCGATAAGCTATTTATAAGGCACCACTATAAATGCTTCCATTCTGTTTTAATTAAAGGACCACTATAGTGCCCTGAGGGTGCCCACACCCTCAGGGACCCCATCCTGCCGGGCTCTGGGGAGAGGAATGGGTTAAACACTCACCTTTCTCCAGCGCCGGGCGGGGAGCTTTGAGCCAGTCTCATAGGAAAGCATTCATAATGCTTTCCTATGGACGCTTGCGTCTTCTCACTGTGATTTTTCACAGTGAGAAGCACGCAAACGCCTCTAGCGGTTGTCAATGAGACAGCCTTTAGAGGCTGAATTAACCTATTTATAAACATAGCAGTTTCTCTGAAACGGCTATGTTTTTATATATATATATATATATGGGTTAACCCTAGCTGGACCAGGCACCCAGGCCACTTCATTAAGCTGAAGTGGTCTGGGTGCCTAGAGTGGTCCTTTAATAAAAGTAATGGCCTAACTTTGCACATGTTTCAGTTTACTTGTTTTATTGCATTTTTGCCATTGTGTTTATCTAAGTCTGCACCTATTGCTATTTAGGGCACACACATATATTTATAGATTACAGAATCTTTACTTGGCATTTTTTTCTGGATCCATTAATGGGTTGAGCACATTTCTGTTAGCCTGCAGTGCATCATGAAGCCACGCACAATGCAGTTTGGATGTAAATGGGTGATTACGGTCCACTGTGCGTCATTTTTATAGTGTGTATCTCAACTCTGTGACGAGCTGTACTTTGTGCATTTTCCAGCATTTTTGGCTAATGCCAGGTTCTGCTGAAATTGTACGAACTGCAAAGGGACACCATCTGCAATTTTTTAAAATATTTTTTTTAGTTTGTTTTGCACCGCCCATTCCACTCTCCATTCATTGCTTACGTAATCCACCAATAAAGCATAGGTATGTGGGGTGCTGCCACCCTTCAAATAGTTTTGTTAGCTGAACTAGTGACTGGTTATTCAGCGGCTCGTGATTCTCTTGGCCTGTCCAACCACCGTTAATTGTCAGTGTGGTCACTGACATTCGTCTATTGTTAAAAGAAAACACAGTACTAATGTTCATTTTTATTTTGAAATAAAGCATGTAGCAATTTGTATATGCCAAAAGAAGGCAGAAGGCTAAAATTGTACATTTGATGACCGTTTCCTATTAAAGCGACAATGTGGGTAGTATAATCATTAAATCTCTTTGAACGGAGATATTAAAGCACTGTCCTTCCATTCAGTGTTAAAGCAGTTTAACACTTAATAAGGGTCCCTGGCCACACACAGTCCGGCCCCTTCTGAAGGTGTGGCTATAGCACGGATTACACACTTCCTTGTCATAATATTTCATACAGTCAGTTGACACTCGCAACCAATCACAGCTGGTCATTTCTGCAGAGGTGAATACTTCCTTATTAGCCAAAGTAGCACAGAAGGGATGGGCTGATGAGGGGGCTCTTATTTAGCATTGAAAAATAACAACATTAAAAACTGTTTAATGCTTAATGAAATTATGACACCATGGGGATTCCAGAGACTAACCAGTTCAATTAGATGAAGCGGACACTGTGCCCATTTAATCTGGCCCTCATCTAAAAGGGGACCCACTGCCCCCCCAAATAGAATTACAAAACACAATGAAGACACCCACTATAGTTATACTGTAGTATATTTGATAAATCTAGGGCCACGGTTTTATTCCTTGTCAAGTTTTCAGTTTATATCTTTTGTTTTACCTAAATGTAGAGGAACATAGATTTTTGAATGTGTGCATCTGGTTGCGTTTCTACATAGTATGTAGTTTTGATTCACAAAGATACTGTTCTAACCAAAAATTCTGTAAAAAAAAAACACTTTAAATTTGAATGTTAATTTAATTTTGCTAATAGCACAGTGTGTAAATATAATTACCGGGCAGTGTTTGTTTAGCTCTGTAAATGAGACTTGTCTGTCTAGTTGTTTATAAAATGACAGGCAGCAGTGTGTTTAGCCAGTTATGTTTTGCTGCATGTCTTTCTTTTGTTTTCACAGGTGATCTTTGTTAAACAGCTCGCTCCCTTTTCAAGCCTCAACACACAACCAATGCATAGCGAGAAGAGGTATGACATCTACTCAGACGACGTAAAGATCTTTGCCCAACTCAGGTAATGACAACTTTATTTGAAAATTTCTGTATGGTACCTTTAAATACTTAAACTAGTATTGACTGTTCTGCAGCAAGGTTTATTATACAGAAGCATGACACCATTGTGGGGGGAGGAGGGTAGTTAAAGGGACACTGCTAACAATGTTTAAACTTAGGTTCAATTATGTATTTATTCTTCTGTTTAAGTATCGAGCACTTGGTATGCCTCTAGGAGCTGCTCTGTGTGATCAGTGCTATTCATAGTATGGATGGAAAAATGAAATGTCTGACAGAAATAAGAATGGGAAGCATCATGCGGTTCTTAATTCTGCCTGTGATTTAATTTTTCTGTTGGTACTATGAATAGTACTGATCATATACAGCAAAAGTGCTACAATTTGTGTGTGTATATCTCTTTCACACAAAAGGCTGATGGCTACACTGACAATTGCTATAGTAACCATGTGTCTCCCTGACTGTCCTCTGGAATAACTGAGAACATGTTGGAGTGTTGTTTGTGGACCATCACCCTACTGATTTTGAATAGAGACGTCAATATAACAAGCTAATAATCGCTTACTGTAATGATTGAGTCTATTTTGGGAACTACTGCAGTTGGGTAATTCTGGCCTCTGTTTTCTCATGAGCTGAATGTGTTTCACTTTCTGTATCCACTGTTTAGGCGATTGCTACAACATGAATGCACCTTATGCCCTGAACTCCGACCGTTTCATGCCTTCCCTGACCTAGAACAGCACATGAGAAGGAACCACGAGCTCTTTTGTTGTAAACTGTGTGTAAAATTCTTAAAGGTAAGTCTCCCTTAAACTGGATAGCTTTATGTCTTCATCATGGCAAAAGAAACCGAACCCTTGGATTACAGCTTCAATTAAAAGTATCTCACAAAAAATATAACTGGAAGACTGTCACCAGGGGACTTAAAGTACCATAACCGCTACAGCTCTCCTTTGATGAAGCAACAGAAACGTGCTGGACTTTGCTTGCACTTGCAGTGTACCTCCCACTCTTGCATGATGTCTTTTTATTACACAATAGTTTTTTGGACTTTGAACGCTTGATTGCAGTGTTTCATTGATATCTGATTTCTTGGCTGCTTGGTGAATAAAATAATTCTGCCTATTTTTATTGATTTTACTGTAGTGTGATTGAGTGTATTAAAATCAATGTTTTGTTTTTTGATAATTCAGTTAGTTGCCTTCCCTACACCACCACACATCGCATATATTGTACTGAATTCGCTCCTAATTTACCAATCCTAGAATTTTACCTATGAGCGCAAGTGGTATAGCCGCAAAGACCTGGCTCGCCACCGCATACACGGTGACCCAGAAGACACATCTCACCGTGGGCATCCACTCTGCAAGTTCTGCGATGAACGTTATCTGGACAATGACGAGCTATTGAAACACCTGCGAAGGGACCACTATTTTTGTCATTTTTGTGACTCTGATGGTGCCCAGGAATACTACAGGTATGTGGATCAAAATACTATCAGAATTAATTTCCTTGTCATTCAGAAAAAAATACATTGATGAGCATTAACTAATGGCTTTCTCTTCTATAAAATGCATGCGTTTCGGGACATAAAAGTAGGAATGCTTCATTAAGCTAAAGTCATTTTCGTGCCTGTAATGTTCCTTTAAGCATTATTGTCCTTTTAATCTGACGTGCACATCCTTTCAATTACATTTACCTGACTAGTGCAGTACTTGTATCAATATAGATTACATAAATCTTTTTTTAAAATACTAAATCCGGGGGCAATGCTTTGGTTTGAAAGCTTTCATAACACATTCTACAAAAAAACAAATGCACTTAAATGTTATTGGCTATGATTTCAAACTTTTTTATTTTTTATTTTGTGGATTAAAAACAGTGAAAATGTTTGTCATATAATTTCTCCCCACAAGATGGCAATGTTGTATCGTGTAGTATCGCCAAAGATACATATTTAATTGTTTCTACATTTTCTAATCCACTCTCAGTAGTCCATGGTTATTGAGTATAGCCCAAAGTTTGACATGCCTCTCAGATCAGTAAAGCATCAAATGTAAAATAAATGAAATAACGCTAAGTCAATATATCCTTTTTTTTAAAAAAAATTTTTTTTAACTTATTTATACTTTTATTTTTAAGTGATTACTCCTTCCTTCGTGAACATTTTCGTGAGAGCCACTTTTTATGCGAGGAGGATAATTGCAGGACCGAGCAGTTCACGCATGCTTTCCGTTCTGAAATAGACTACAAGGCACACAAGACATCATGTCACAGCAAGAGCCGCGCTGAAGCCAGGCAGAACCGGCAGATTGATCTCCAGTTTAATTATGCTCCCCGACATAATCGCAGAAATGACGGTAAGGACAGTGTGGAATATCCACTAAACTGTGAATAGATATGGACTAAAAACGTAAATTTACAGTTGGGTAAAAAATCCCAAGCTCCGCACACTGCCTTTTAAAGGAGCACTATAATGTCAACAATACAAACATGTGTTTCTGACACTATAAGTATAACAAGCCATTTTGGGTCCCCTGCCCCACCTTGACCCCTGTTTAAAAATGTGATTTTACTCACCTTTTTCCAGCGCCGCCTGGGTCCCCCCTAGGCTGAGATCATCAAACTTCATTCATCACTGGCGATCATAACTTTCTTGTTACAGGAGGAGTTGTTGGAGGCGAGGATTATGAAGAGGTGGACAGGTTTAATAGACATGTAAGAGTCCCAAGAGGCGGAGCACGTGGAGGACAGCAGAACAGAAGGGGAAGTTGGCGGTATAAAAGGCGAGTGTGCTTTTCAGGAAATGCTTGTCTTGTAAGATTTCTTAGGTTTACATGTAAAGAGCAGTCCTGGGGCGAAGTTCGAAGTGTTGGTTTCCATGGTGCTTCAGCGAAGCAGAAAGAACACTCCACTTCTAGTACATTGCTACAGCGTTGCTCTTCATACATGGTCCACTATTGTGCTTTTAGTTGTGCTGATTTTGTGGAATGCTTTGTGACATTATGTTCACAAGACATGCACTGGTATATATTTCATTCATCAAAGAAAGAGTGTTTATTGATCTGTAATTTAAAACCTGCAGGGAAGAGGAAGATCGGGAGGTTGCAGCAGCGGTGAGAGCGTCTGTAGCAGCCCGGCGTCAAGAGGAAACTGGAAGGAAGCAACCACTAGAAAATCTGGAAATCTCCAAGTACAGGAGGGAGGAGACCCGGGAACCTGAGGAGGGACGAAAGACCAAACTAACCCCCAAACCTCCAGCTGACAATGCAGGTATGTGTTTGTTCATATGAAGAAGGATCCGTAATTTCATTTCAAATTGGATGAAAAATGTGGGTTTTCTTACTGGTACTTGTTTGTAATTTTCCCCACTAAGGCTGTGAATTTCTCGTGAAACAATTGTCTCTAGGCCCCAAAGAGACAGCGAAGGCGCAGAATGTATCCAATGGTACTTTAACTGAGGAGGATTTTCCCGTGTTTGGTTTTTTCACAGCTACCGCACCATTGTTGAGGTAGGAAATTCCATTAAGGATAACCATGACTATCTGTGACGGCGGTATTGTTGATGTATGATTATATTGAAAGCTGTAATAGATTTGGTTAGTTGTGTGATGTGCATGGATACATGGGGGGTGTTTAAGTTGCTGGAATGGTACGATGTGTTGTTTTTTTGTTGTTTATTTTTACTGTGTATGATATGACCTAGCAAAGTACCTGAAGGGATTAATTTGAACTAAATGAGAGCCCTTTTATTATCGCACTAGGTGCCAAAATGTGACAGCTTCTACAACAACTCACTGAAATGTTTAATTGCATACGCAATTTAAAACTTAAATGTGACTTGTTTTCTTTACACAGAGATTTATACAGAAAACATTTTTATATGCACTTCGTGTATTCTTTCTTAACAGCAAATTGCACATCTCAATATTTTATATGAAATCGGGCTATTGTGTCTTAAATGAATACTCTCTAAATGTTCGTGTTCTTTGCTGTCTTTAGATACGTTACTTTTTTATTTTATTTTTTAAAATGACTATTTAGCTTTAGCTTTGAGAGTACAGGGACAGCACTAAAACATTAAGATGCCAAGGGTGTCCTGCTGTTAGTATTACTAGCTATTTTTCCCTATCATTGCAAATTAAAGTGCACAGCTCACTGACTGACTGACTGCCGTCACTAATAGCGGGCTGAAGAAGTGCAGCTGCTAGGATGCTCCCCTCATGCATAGATTCTGATGTTAAAGCAGTGAAACGTGGCAGAAAGAGCCTTCTGTACTGCCTCTGTTACTTTTATTTTGTAATATAGTCATGTTTATTTAGCAGAAACAATGAGCACAGGTTCTTTTAATATACAGATTATGAAGGAATTTTAATAGATCATTCAAAGTTCTATTGATCTTAATTTATTTTATTTTTTTTAAATTTCAGCTCTGTAAAACCAGCACAAGTTAAACTGAAAGAAGAGGACTTTCCAAGTCTCTCAGTCGTTTCCACTTCATCATCCTCCTCCTCCTCCAACACTACCTCATCAAGCACTTCCTCTGCACCAGCCTTCTCCTCAGGACTCGCATACACTGCTTCTACCAGGTCATCAAACAGATTCCAGGAAGAAGATTTTCCAGCTTTGGTGTCCAATCTGCAACCGAACAGAACAATGTCGTCTGTGACTTCTGCATGGACTGCCAGCTCATCCAAAAATCCCTCCAAGCCCACAGCCCCTAGTGTGACTTCTTCCAACAAAGCTGGGAAGAAGACTTTGCACCCCACCATTACTAAGCCAGCCTCTAAAAAACCAGCAAAAGTGTCTTCTCATTCTGAAGAGGAGGATGATGGCACTGGAATCACTCAACAGGAATTCCGGAATGCCCCCACCATGTTTGACATCTCCAAACTGCTTACCACACCACCGCCTCAAAGCTCTGCTAAGGTGGGCAAGAAGAAAAGAGTTGGGTCAGAGAAGCAAAACAACTCCATCACAAGTCAACAGATGTTTGACAAATCTGCCAATTCGTCCCTCAAGGAAAATGCTACGGAGATTGAGCGCACGCCGACTCCGCCTGCCAGTACCATCCTTGGTGATAAATCCAACACTGTGGCAAACGGGCCAACTGAAAAGAAGGCGTCAGAGAACATCAGTATCTTGAATGATCCACCCGGTTTCAAAAAAGCAGCGGTTTCTGTGCCTCAATATTCTTTACATGAAGAAGAATTCCCAGCCTTGGTGAACAAGAATGTGTTTAAGTTGCCACCACCAGGTAAACTGTTACTAGTGGGATTAGTGTATAAATCTCCAGTTATTTTCTAAATGTAATAACCAGCTACAGGAAGGAAATCTGTTTTTTTTTAACCCCTATTCTTTTCCTTGTTACTCTTAATTACAATATCAGTGTCACCTTTCTCATGCAGTATAGGCTGGAGCACTATAAGTGTTAGGAATATAGTTTTGTCATAATAACATATATATTTTAATCAAAGCGCTTTGTTCATTTTATCCACGCAGTGATGTGCATTGAAGATAGAACAACTCAGATCTTTACAAGTTACAGCTTGCTGGCTCCTAATTCTTAGCTTATTGTGTCCACACAGTGCATGTGTAACATTTCTTTTTGTTTGGCAGGTTTCTCTCCAGTTGTGACAGTAGCTCCTATAGCACCACCCCCTGGTCTATCGGCATCTGTTGGAAAACCACCTCCAGGCTTCAGCAATATCTCTCCCATAACACAGTCCGCTGAACCGGAAGCCAAACCGGTCAAAGAGTAAGTGGACCACGGCAATGCTACTGCTGCAGACTTGAGTTGACTCCTAATGATTCATTTAAAAGTATAAACCTAAATTTTAAAAAAGCTTCTTTGAATTTTCTGCGTTTGCCAAGTTGATGCAGATTGTAAAGTAAACCAGAAGCAGCCTGACTACCTTCAGAGCAAAAATAATACAACAACAAAAAAAACAAACACAAAACTCTTAACAGAACTATAGCACTTGACCTGGAAATTCTGTAATTGGCACACACCTCCCAGACCACAATGGTATGTACTAGGGATAGGCAAACTTCGGCACTCCAGATATTGTGGACTACATCTTCCATAAAGCTGTCAAAGCATCTTGGGAGGTGTAGTCCAAAACATCTGGAGTGCCGAAGGTTGCCTCTGCCTGCTATATACCAATGTGGGGTGTGTTTTTGTCTTAATTCCATAAACCCTTCTCTTTCCAGCAGCTTATTGGGGATGTAGTTTATGCCCCCACCTCAGTTCCACAAATCTTGTAAAATTAATGAAACCTCACAATAAAGTAATAGCTGCCATACTGCATCCCTGCAGTCTGTTCATGGTTTCATCCTGTATAGCCTATATAGGTATGTGATTGGGGCTGTATATAGTGACATCACTAGCCATCAGCTGAGATTTACCCAATATCTGATAGATTGAAGATGTTTATTAGTCTGTGTGGTGTCCAGTTTATCTGCTTTTTATTGTTTTCTATGGGAGTGTTTACTGTAAAAAATGCTGCCCCTTAGAGGATTATGGCATATGTAGTTCAGCAATTGAGAACATCCTAAATGATGAAACGATGTGAATTAAAGTACTTGGCAAGCTAATAGACACTGGTGCCTCCTCCAACACTGATTTATAGAACCTGATTATCAGTACACAGAAGCAGTCCAAGGACTGAATCCTGGGGTTCCCCACTCACCAATTTTATCCAGAATGGTGATTTTCAGTTAATGGAAACTGTGACGAAGTGCCCTTTGCTACTTGTGCCTGGAGAGGACTAATTGCCAGCCTCCTGCCCTGTGACCATGGCCCCTGGAAGATTTTGCCCTTTAAAAATGCTATTTGGGCATATTGGATTTTATACTTTGCCCCTTTAAATTATATTGGAGCAGTCTGCAGCTTTAAATTGTGAAGAAAACCCCTGTTTTATTCCCCCTGCTCCCCACTCCTAGAACACCAGTTAAACCCTTAATACCTTGTTACATTCAAACTCTGTCTGTCTGACCCTTATAACTGTAATTTTGTTTTCCTCTGAGGAGTTGTTGTTTTGCTGCATGAGTGCTGTTGCTTTTGTGAGCTCATTAAACAGACCTGCTTGACCCCTTCTTGAGCCTTGGCTCATGTTTGGGGGATGGGATAAGTCTGCAGTGCTGATGGTGTCACTTGGAGTCCTCGGCAAGCACTATGAGCATCGATTGGCGGAGGTACTCGGTCGGAGTGCCCGCGGGTCCGTCACATTTTGGAGGAAAACGGTGGGATGGCGTCCTAGTGTGAGGAGAAGCAGCTTGGAGACACTGGTAACGTTACGGAGCTACAAGTGAGGGCGACGCTAGCACTCGTGCAGCGCAGCACCCTTGTCTACAGCGAAATCCAAGGCGCGGATCGGAGCGCTAGTGGCCCAGAGTTGGGGCCGAGCGAACATGACTTAATGCTATGAGGGCGATGCCTACATTGCAAAGGTAATGAGGCAGCTAGCCGGGTATGGCCCAGATCCTTCGGAAGAGGTGATCGTCCGAATCATGCACGAGTTGGATGAAGAGACCCAAGCAGCACAGCAATGTGAGTTCAGATTGTGGAGATTGGGGCTGCGGACAACTGATCTCTCCCCCCAGCTGGGATGGTTGATCCCTCCACCTTACCGCAACCAGCGTTCTGGGGAGTGGAGGCAACCGGCAGGTGGAGATGGGACCGAGGTGTCTCTACCGGCCCTACAGGGATGCCTGGCAGCCGGCCCAGATCCCCAGTGGCAGCTGGAGTTACAGGGAGAGGAGACAATCGGTCTCTCTCCCCAGCGGCGGCCTGAGTTCCAGGAGGAAGAGATGGTCGATCCTTCCACCCTACAGCGCCCTGGGGAGTGGAGGCAACCGGCCTCACCCTCCAACAGCAGCCAGAGGTACCGAGAGAGGGTACGACTGGTCTCTCACCGCAACTACAAGGGGAAAGCAACCCTAACCCCACCAGCGCAGATGGGACCGCGGTCTCTGTGCCAATTCTACAGGGACCCTGGACGGCCAGTCCAGATCCCCCAACCATACTCGCAGGAATACCAGGAGGAGGTAAGCAAGCCCTCCTCTCCCCAGCTAATTCCCAACCGAGTCCTGGGGGCAGTGGATGGGTCTGCGATACACACTGACCCCCTTCCAGCAGACGAGCTGGCATCCGGGCAGAGCGCGGTCAGCCTCTGCCCTCCCTTGCCATCTTGTTCAAAACCTGAATGCCCACCAGCCAAACCCAGCAGAAGCGCTGGCATCCGGGCAGAGCGCCGTTGGCCTCAGTCCACTAGTTCCCTTCAGCGACCTGGGACATACAGGCCAGAGTCTGACACTAGGAATCACCAGGGGCAGTAATGGTGTATTGTGGGTTGGCTACTCTGTTAACTGTTTGTTGTAAGTGAGCTACTTGACTAACTCAGGTACTGACCGACAGAAGGTCAGGTACGTGGTTAGTCTCCCGCCCCCCCAATGGGAAGATGTGTGACGAAGTGCCCTTCGACACTTGTGCACTAATTGCCAGCCTCCTGTCCTGTGACTATGCCCCTGCAAGATTTTGCCCTTTAAAAATTTTATTTGGGCATAGTGGATTTTATACTTTGCCCCTTTAAATTATATTAGAGCAGTATGCAGCTTTAAATTGTGAAGGAAACCCCCTGTTTTATTCCCCCCTTCACCCCCCCCACTCCTAGAACACCAGTTTAAACCCTTAATATCTGTCATATATTCAAACTCTGTCTGACCCTTATAACTGTCATTTTGTTTTCCTCTGAGGAGTTGTTTTGCTGCATGAGTGCTGTTGCTTTTGTGTGCTCATTAAACAGACCTGCTTGACCCTTTCTTGAAGCCTTGGCTCATGCTTGGGGGATGGGATAAGTCTGCAGTGCTGATGGTGTCGGTTGGAGTCCTCTGCAAACACTAGGAGCATCAATTGGCGGAGGTACTCGGTCGGAGTGCCAGCGGGTCCGTCACAAAACCCTCTCTACTTTTACATAAATTTAAAGAGTAAAGTTTCTTTAAAATGTTAAAGTATTAGATGTATAAAATAAGGACAGATTTTCATCATTGTACTTTTTTTGCCCTCCTTGTGTGTGTTTAATAGTTACGATTTATACATTCTTTTTGCTAGCATTTCTTGCTTTTTTGACATGCCTTAGTGTTCTAAGTGCAATTTTTTTAAAAATTTTTTTTTTTTTGTTCTCAGATCTCCTTTTTGCACGAGGGCCTACCTTGTACCCGAAAATTTTCAGCAACGGAACATCTACTTGATCAATTCCATCAAAGATTTTCTAGACAGTGATGAATCAAGGTTCAATGAATTTAAATCCCACTCTGGCAAATTCAGACAGGTACACATACAGGTTGTGTTGCTATTTGCATAATATATACTGGTGTTTCTGGCTTCTAATTAAATTAAATAGCATGTGTATTTTTGATCCACAGACTGTTGACATATATGTTGTGTAGTTTTCATTTAATTCAAGATATTTTAATCTTGTGCACCATACTCATCAAAATTTTATGTGTGTTATCTTCTATATTTCATGTTTGATAGTATTATCGGTAGATGGTAAACATGTAGATTGATATTTCATATATGCTTTGCAGGCAGGTTCTGTGGATCATATGCCATGTTAAATTATATGTAATGCAAAAACAAGGATCTTGTTTTATGGTTTGTCTGCTGTTCATCTATTGGTCCACCTTTTGCTGCGCCTGATGGCTCCAGCCTGCATCACTGTCTATTCCAAGCCTTACCTGCTCCACGATGAGAAACGTTAAAGCAAGTTCTTTCTTTGTGCAGGGATTGAGTTATATTTTGTTATCATGTGTCTGCTCTGTGCCTCATGAATGTGTCACTTGAAGTTATTTGTGTAATCATTTGTTTGTGTTTACATTTCTGTACAGGGGCTTATATCTGCTTCGGAGTATTACAAAAGCTGCCGCAAATTACTCGGTGAGAACTTCAGTCTGATCTTCAATGAACTCTTAGTCCTCCTTCCTGACACGGCCAAGCAGCAGGAGCTGCTCTCTGCTCACCGTGATTCCTCTTCCGAAGACAAGCCTGTCTCCAACAAGTCCAAAAAGGGCAAGAAGGGAGCCTGGAAAACAGACTCAAACACTTCTGATCTGGACTATTCCACTTGTCCGAGTTGCAGCCAGGTGCTGTCCCCCAGGGATGTTGGCTACCATAAAACTTTGCACATAGAGGATAATGATTTCCCCTCTCTCCAGGCCATCAGCAGAATTATCAGCTAAGTTCACTCTGCTCAGTGTGAGTCTACACTCAGTAGGAAGGAGAATAATACCAGTAATGTCAAAGAGATCTCATGATAGCCAAAACTGGCTGTGGTTTGCTGCCTGGCAGTACAAAGATTATTTCCGTTCTCCACGCTCGGCGGCCAAATTACATTTCGATATAACCAACGCAAAAGCGATTAGCTGAAAGTGAAGAGCTGGGCTGAGGAATTTGACCTGCTTGGCATCTGCCTGTACCAGGTTTTTACCAGGCACCCATTGCAGAATGATTGAAAGTTTCAGTGCAGTGATCTGAGTGGTATTTAATAGGGCAAAATAAAGAACCTCTATTTAAATGACCCAGAGTGTTTTCCACTTTGCTCTACCATCCTAAAGGACTAAAACAAATATTGTCTTCATTGTGTTGGTGTAAAATAAGAGATGCTTCGAAATTATATATAATTTTTTAATCTGAATAGTTCACAGCCCCATGGTTTTACTCTCGAATTGCTGTATGGAAATCTCATTATTGACCATTTTCAAACTGCAGACAGTTCATCGGCCTCAAACCTATATACACATACATAGCTAATTAAATACACTAGTAAAGAGCTGTCTGGCTTTAAGCATTGAGTAAGCTGGTTGCTAGCAATCTATATTGAGCCATGTCTGATTGAATGGATTAAATACATAATACCAGCAACCAACAAGGTAATTAAAAAAAAAAAAAAAAAATCAACATTTATCAACAATAGCTTTTGTTATTTCTGAAAGTAAACATTTTACATTAAGAAAAAGCTATGATACGGAGTATATCATAGCTTCTGGCCTTTTTAAAAGCATATCTTTAAAGTGTAATGGCCAGAGCAATGTAAAACATAGCATTAAAGGGGCACTCTTCGTGCCATAACCACAAAAGACTGATGTAGATTTTATGGTACTACTGGCACTCTTCCTCTTCTGTGTCGAACGGTTTGAGAGAGGTCCTCTGGGCACCCACGGCTGGGTACCTCACTTGGAATATTGCAGAAGTTCCACTCTTGGAATATCAATTTCTTCCGAATTCTGATGGCATTCATTGTCTAAGCTGTCAACTGACAAGTGTAGCTAATGAATGTCATGTAAGCACGGTAGGAATTGATATTGCTTCTGTTGTAAGTTTGTGATAAACTGTTTGGAACGGACCTGTGAGACTGTGCCGTACACATGTTGTCATAACCACTACGGAGGACTGCCATAGTTATGGTACTTAGAATAGCCCTTGTAATGATTCCGAGCAGGTGAATAGATTTTTGGAGTTCCAAGATCAGATAATTATAACTCATTGACTGCCGCTTCCATAAGATTTTAGAGAAATGAACACTTATAACGTATCTGTAAATAAAAAGAATCGTAGAATCAAAGAACATTCATCTTTTGAACAGAAGAGGAGAGAAAATGAGGGCAAGTCACAAAACCTTAGAAGGCAATTTTCAAGAAAAATATTTAAATTAGTTCCTTAGGTTCTCTTTTTCAAATAGAAAATTATCCAATCATTAGATTGGTCAGTGATGTTCGGGAGCAAAGGTGAACAAGCAGATGGGACAAATAAAGCTAAGTCTGTATATTACCCATCATGCATTTGTGATCTAGTAAGTTTTAAAATCCCTTTTACAACCATCATTCCCTCCCAGTATTGTCTTCACATGGAGACTACTGTAATGGGTTCTGTGGAACCAAGTGTTAATTTAAATTTTGTTGTGCATTGAATCTTTGCCTCAGTGTTTGGAGTCTATAACGTTGCAGTGTAGCCTGTGTTAATGTGGAGACCAGGTGTTCACAGCTTGTAGCTCCGTTTTGTTACATGTTTATATCTTGCTGCAATGAACCACCAAAAACAGGGCATCAAAGGACCTTGTCAGCTGTTTAAACTGACCCCCATTGCTGTCCTGTTAGTTTACAGAACTCTGCTCGATGCTAGTGCAGAGAGAGCGAGAGACTGACTTTACATTTTCCACTTTTTCCTTCTTTTGACTTTGTCACTTTAAAATTCTTACCTTAAAACTCCCATAGTCCTTTTGGTGATACTAGTTTATTATAGTAAATCTAGGGTGATTTTATTTTCCACTATTTTTCCTTTTTTTTTTTTTATTTTTTTTTTTAAGTAATTTAGGTTATATAATCATAATGCAGTCTGTTAACGATCAGAACAATAACTTGGCTTATACTTGAACTATGGATGCTGTAGGTATTACAGCAGTGTACATTATTGGCTATTTGTGTGGCACATAATGTCATATCTGAGACTCGGCAGCACTGGACTGCTCTAGATAAGATGTTTGACCAGGCATCACTGTTTGGTAGCAAGCTAGAGTACAATCAGTAGCGAAAGACTTCTACCCATGCTCCTGTATATCTAATTTTCATTTTGTAGGAACATCCATTTGGACTTCACACACAAATTACTTCATTCACTAAACAGCAAATTGGCATTGATTTAAAATGTGTATATAAATTCCTTTCAATGCAAAGACCTCGTCTGAGCACATTTTTCAACTGGTTAGGAAAAAAAATCGTTTTTGAATACACATTACATTTTGAATTTACCGCAGAACATTTGCCAGTAAATTAACGTTAGTTTATTTTTATGGGTTTTCATTTCTGGAAGTGATTATGTATTGTTTAAATACTTATGGTGCTTCGAACACCTGTTGACTAACAAGTGATTGTAGAAAACAAAAATTCAGAAAATCACTTCTAGATCAAAGATCAAGTTTGTGCCAACTTGTATTTCCTCTTTGCTTCCTTGTAATTAAACACAAAAAGCAAAATGCAGAAAAAAAAAGTTTGTCTCGTGTTTTTTACATTTTCTTTTGTGTTTTCCTTGTCTAACATCCAGTATTCAAACAATATCGACTAACTTTCTGAATCATATCTGTTGAATTGCAACCATCACCAATGTGGATGGAGCTTGTAGAAGAGCCTTTTGATATTTTTATTATTTTTTTTTTGGTGTCTTATATTAGGCTAGATGGGAATGTAGACTGTATAAAGTCATGAAACTTGCATGGAAGGTTAACTACAATAGTTAATTTCATTGGACAGATCTAATGTAACACTATAACGATTAGTATGCTTGAATTTTAAATGTTTTGGCACCCTTGACAGTTTCACTTATTATCCAAAAAAAATTAAACTTGACTTCTGTTTGACAAATCAATGGAAGAGGTAAGAAGAAAATGCTGAGTTTCTAAGTATTTATAAAGGGAGAAATGTATCTAGATTATAAGGATAGGAACTGGGGCTCATTTAGACCTGTAACAGACCAATTGTGCAAGTTAATTTTAGGGAATTCTCTGTTCTATGGGAGCTATTGAGGCAGACCATATATTGGGAATATACAGATGTAGGGGTCCTATATGCTGAAGTAGTAATCAGACATGGGTAACATACAGGACAGTCGGTCTTTGTGGAATAGGGACGTTAAACATATAGTTATATCTTCATGGAGACATCAGGGAATCCTCCATATCTATCCACTTACCCTCCGAAAGGTGAAAAGGAACACACATCAGGAACGTCACTGCCCTATGGTGGGTTCTAACTTTTATTTTAATACGGTTGTCATTTTTGTAACTTCTTTGCTGACTGTGGAGGCTTTTATGACTTCGCACCGCCTTTCGTGTTTTATGAAGGTGGTAGTTTTTAGAGAAATTTCAAGGTAATTTGTTCCCACTTAGGCTATCCTCCTTGGTCCTCTGACTTCTGTTTATCCATTGGTATCCTTTGATAAACATCCACCATTCTCTTTGCTACCTGCTCCACTGAAGAGTATTGGGAAACCTCTTTTTGAATCTTTCTGCACCTTTTTATCGTTCATGATTTAGCCCAAAGTTGTCGCCCTGGGTGCCTCATCAGTCCTCGTCCTGGGCAGCCACACGGATCTGGAAGGTTTGGCGCCAGTGATAATCTAAACTCATTAGCTGACTTTCTCAACCCATCGAGGCATGGCTCCACGTGTCATGTAAACCAGGGGTAGTCAACGTTTTAATACCTACCGCCCATTTTTGTATCTTTGTGATGGTAAAATTTCCTTACCGCCCACCAGTGCCGCAGTAACCAATTTTATAGCCCAAGTGCAATTTATTTTTTTAGAAAGGAGATTTTTTTTAAAATATGTACTTAAATTAATCGGTTACTTTTTTTTCTGTGTGTGAGGGGGCATAGGGTCTATGCTGTGTGTAGGTGGGTGAGATGTGAAAATCTATCTTACCCCCCTGCCTTCTTCTTACCTTTTATCAGGGAGGGGGGACATAAGGCTGCAGGCTGACTCGCCTGACCTGCTGCGAGCACAGCACTGTATCGGAGCATAGTAATGCACAGCAACGCTCCAACCAGCCTGCTCGCAGGAGGAACACAGAGCCTGCCAGGTCTTTTTCTCCCTCTGCTGGAACTAAGTGCCAGCTGGCCAGTGAGGGAGATCTTTGATCTCATCACCAGTCCGAGAGGGCTTACAGCAAGGCTGGCTCTGCCTGGGCCAGCAGGGGAGATGAAACGATCTCCCCTGCTGGCCTTGGTCCACGGCCATCGAGGCCCACCGGGCGTTATCTGCAGAACCCACCACCGCCCACCTAAAATCTCAAACTGTAGGGACCATGTTGACTACCCATGAGGTAAACAAATGTTTTACTTAGCAAATATGCCAGATGCTCTGCACACAGACCCCTTTTTTTTTATTATGAACAAGCTTGCAATGTATTAGCCATGGGTAGCTCTATATCCTGCTTTGATCAGACACACAACAGATAAAGAAGCCGCAACATTTTCCAGTTTTGTTTTTTAATTTTTATTCTTTTGTAATGTACAGAAAACCAACTTACAGTTTAACACAAGACACTACTGAAAATACACAATCACAGATTGTTCTTTCAGGAAATACAGTATATACAGAGAATTGTAAACATGTCATTTTGTCCCCAGACACACAGGCCACACCATCCACAAATAGTCACATCATAGAACAGACACGTTTTGAAAGTCTTCCCGTATCCCAAAGAGGCAGTGTAGAGATTTGGTTACAGTTTACAGTGAGACTCCATTCAACCTCGTTTCTCTACCAGTCTCAAAACAGCAAACGTTTATCATGGATTATGGCGAATGTAGACCCAACATCAGCTAAGGGCACAAATAAGTAAAGTCTATATTTATGGCAGTACTGTACTTACAGCTCTTTGTGTTCCTAAGTGTATATAGTTCAATTTTTTGACATAGGTAGGGATCTGGTAGAGCCAATGTTTGGTATGTAACTATGCTTGTATTTGTACGATTCTTTGTCACGTAAAGTTAAACTCATGGTAAAAATGTCCAGGCAAAGTACAACGTGGCAAATCGTACGTTGGTTTTATTTTACTAAAACCCAACCAGTAACTCTGCAGATATTGGGTTTCCATTCTAATCGTTTTAAGCTTAGTATTGTCAAGAATCATGGAACTTTAACAACTGCTGCTCTTGGCTATCTATTCAAGTTCTGATTAATAGTGTGTTTTATTATTTCATATTTCTGATTCTTATCCACTTAAATGAGCAGTTTGATAAGCCAATTCAGATCATGGATATCAAAGTCCAAATGATTGACCCAAAGAGCTACGCATCTGCTAGTGCTGTGTGTCTCCCCTGACCCTCTTGCTATATTATAATGCAAATTGGAATAGATTTAAGACATTCCTAAACCCTGCACATCTGACCGTTATTGACAGATGGTTGGGGAACCTCTATGCTAGCAGATGGGTTTATGGTAAAACAAGTAAGTCGTGTAAGGGTCAATGTTGATCTCATGAAGAATTACTTCTGATGCGTCCCTACAGCTTTGTACAAAAAAGTTAACGCAAGTACAGTATTTATCACCACAAAGAATGTATAAGACTCACTTCTCAATTCTAAAAAACCTCCAGAAAAAATAAGGCCACTGTGTATAGAATATTAATCTAAACTCTGTGCCAGCCTTTAATTTGAATGTAAACCTCTCTGAAATCTTTTAATTATATGTTGTGCATTGCAATATGAATTGGCAGGGAAAGGGTTCAGTTTAAAAGTTGTGTTGGCAAAAAGTAGAAGCATTGGTAATATTCTAAATTCACAACTAGGTGGTGCTCTATAGTCATTATTACTGACACTTTGTAATTGAATATGGTAGTCCTTGTTCCCTGTATGGAGGTAATGTTACTTACAGCCCAAGTAATGCAGATTGATGTACATATTAACTGTTTTTGGCACAGGACTTGTATCTGGGTATATATTGGCACTATGGCAAAGAACCACCAACCAATGCTCAGTTGTATCGAAATCCCTGCTTCTGCTCAGTAGTGCCAATTGACAGTATTACCTGTGCTAGTCGAGTCCAGCATGTTTATTTGGACACATACTAAGCCTACATGCTGAAATCCTACAAGTGATCATTCAGAGAGAGGTACCCTGCAGTTTGTGAATCCACGTTGCGGGGCAGTGCTTTTCCTGCACTGCACATCATTCTGTATATGTGTCCTGGAAAACTTGGTGGATAAGGCGAACATATGTAGTGGGCCAGTGAATACTATATTTTGTCTATTCAGTTTTCAGGTTTACCCTAAGTTTAAAGGCACACGATAGTCACCCAGACCAATTCATCTCAATGAAGTTTGGGTGCAGTGTACCTGTCCTTTTAGCAACCATGCAGTTTAAATCCACAGTGGCTATCATACTGACAGACACTAGAGGCGCTTCTGTAGCACTGACTGCATGTAATTCAGTCATGTGATGCGGGTGCAGGGTGACACTATAAAGAACTAGGGACTATAGTGCTGAGAATACAGGTTTGTATCCCTAAAGCTCTACAGTTCGTTTCACACAGGGGAACCCAAAAGGTAGATTTCCAGATAATTTTAAACTACAGTTTCCATGATGCTTTGTTTACAAAAGGCATGTAAAGCATTCTACCAACATAAATCTACCCATTGACCAGGTTTAACACAATAGTGCTCCATTCAATTTTTTTTCAATACATCTTGGATTTAGAAGTCTACGCTCTCGCTTAAGAGACATTCATAAATGTTAGTACTGAAAATAATTTTTCCTAATTTCATAATATATTGCTTATATAATCCCTTCGTAATAATCCTATCTGATATCCTTGAAGTAGCAAATTTTATTACCAACATCTATCTAGAGATGAGCAAAATACACCACTGAACTGAAAATCGAATCGCCAAATTCACGCTACAAGAGCCAAACTCACTATAGCAGAATTGGAACATTTTTCCAAATCGGTTCTGGTTGCCTAAATCTTGCCATTCAGTTTTCAATTCACCGCAGTTGATGTTTAAGTGAATAAACCTCGAAGTCAACAAATCTCAGACCAACAGAAGTAAAATGTTCTTAACGCTACAACTTGTGCAAAACAGTTCTTGTCCGGATCATTTTTGTGAAATTTATAGAACCTCTAAGAACATACACAGACCACGTGCACTTTGTAAAACGTCACCAATGAGGTAAAAGCCCTGCAGCCAAAACACCACCAGTATGTGTTTGGTTTTGTTGTACATTTACACATTGATCTATATAAGACACGGTCCACACACTGAAGGTAACAGAACATTAGTCACACATGTTGTCATTTAATGGTTCCTCCAGTGTTCCCTCTAAGCTGAAAGAAATTACTATTGCTTTATGTATTATCTTGAGTACAGAAATATAACAGTGGATTCTTTGCTACATATTTAATGAAAGCTGCCAGAAATTTGGAAGCATTAATATATATATATAATACTTGTATTTCTCTGCATTCAGCAAACAATAGCTACCAACAAGTACAATTCATTGCGGGATCGCATTTCTTTTTTATTATTTTTTTAATAGTGGGAGCTTTGATAATGTCATGATCTATACATTTGTCATTTGGAAAGTTCGAAGTAGCTCTCTAGTGGCTTGTTCGTTAACAGCACTGTACAAAACCACAAGATATCATCCATTGGGACTTGAAAAAAAGAGATTTTACTCACAGCATCATAAAGGTTTTACCAGTACGAGTGTTGAAGAGTGATACCAGATAACATCTGTGGCTATGAGAAATTTAAGTCACCTGTCAGTTTTGACAGGTTAATTCAATTTTTTCACATACATGTACAATTTTAATAGCATTAAAAGAGTTAACGACCCTCATTTTATGATAAGATTGAGTGGAGGTTCAGATGGGGGCTGTTTACAAACGCACAAACTCTCCAGGTGCTTAGTTATATTAAAATAGTGTTTGTTGTCACCTGTCTGTCACTTTTAATGGCAGGCCATGGCAGAATAGAGTCTGTCTGCCAATAACATGACGCAGATTACATAGAGGAACTAACACTGCACTCTGTTCTGTCACTTGCATGCATTTTATCCAATTCAAACAACCATCAAAACAAATTATATTCCTCTAGTGAATATATATATATATATAAACATTAATACACAGTGTGTTCTATAGTAGTATATTATGCACCATATGCTAATATTACATGCTAATTTCAGTAGGATGACAGTGACCTGTGTCTCGATGGACTGATTTAAAAGTGATTATCGGTCCACACTGGGTTCGAAAATAAGCCCTTTAGTATCCTGGTTGGTCCTTACCATGTGTTCACTAAGGCAGCCAGATCCACCATTAATTTACTGGACACCAGTCACTTCATGCCCATTGGTTGCACATGAAAAGTGCTTCCTTGTAATATGAAGCATCCACAAACTGCATGTGGGAAAACAACTATTAAGGAGAGAACCTCTGAGTTCTCTCTTGCAGCATAGGAATTCTTTATACTCGGGGGTAGCACTTTTTATACTGTGACAATCAGTGTGATAGGTGTCTAGGGAAAGTGGTTGTTATAATCCAGATTTCGGAAGTCTGGTTTTGAACACCTTCCAACAAACATATCAAGGTCACCTTGGCTGAGAGTAATAGGAGTTACAGTTTTTAACCCCTTAAAGACACATGACATGTCATGATTCCCTTTTATTCCAGAAGTTTGGTCCTTAAGGGGTTAAACTGGGGGCAGAATACAGCTTGCCAACCTCTGTTTTAGGGAATAGCTTCTATTGTTTTGTTTTTTTGTTTTTTTTATTTGGTGATAAATGTTTTTGTTTTTTAATTAATCTGGTGTTATATCAACATTTTAAAGAAATTGGAGATGTTGATATGCTCTTTAAAATGTATTTTACTACCTTGAGACATTCATGCGCACTTTGCGTATTGAGTACAACTTGCAAGGACCCATTTCCTTAACCGTCAGTGTTTTCCATTTATAGACCTACTTTTACAAAGACCTAACAAGAAAATGTTTTATTAGTTGCCATAGTAAAAAAAAAAAAAAAAGCTTAAAACATACAACGACAAAAAATAGATAGAAAAAGGAATTCTTTTTGGTTAGAAAAAAAAGACTGCATAAAATCAGCCATACCGCGGCCGTTTGAGACATTTCACAAAAAAATGTTTAAAATATTTAGAAAGAGACCCTGATACCATGTAGGTAAAGAACCACCAATTGATTAATGTCAGATCATTTAACCTTAAATGGCTGCAAAATTGACCTTGGCCCGGGGATAATCTTAGGCTATCAGGGTATCTGAGAGAGATTCTTTTTTTTCTAATCATTCAATATGGGCCCTTTTCAGAGTTTTTCTGGATAGGAAGGTAAATTCATATCTAAGCCACAGTAGCCGACCTGAAAACACAACTGAATTGGAGAATTTCTCCAATTTGGCTATTTTGGCCTAAAATTTGAAATTCACTTGGAATCCTCGACAATTCACATCGTAATAAATAATCCTTAAAGTTTAAATTATAGAATAAAGGGTCAGGCAGCGCAATGGTCCTGTTTCCTAGACAGATATATGTTTTTGCGTTTTAACATTAAACCTGTACGCTATTCATTTACTTCCAAGCAGATGTGGCCAGACTGTTGAGAGCTGTTGCACTACCCATCATGCTTTGCCCTAATCATATGCGAATCGTACAACCAACAACTGCTGGATCTCTACAGACTGGCTACTTCGGCTTTAGAGGGAACACTGCACTTATATTATTTTAATTTATTTTTTTTCTTTTCATTTAAAAAAAAGCAACCCTTGAAGATTTCACATACAAGCAATCAATCAATTACCACTGTACAGAGTGCACTGTAGATCTAAATAATTGAACAAATCACCCAGCACTTAAAATCACATCTAGAAAGTAGAACATTTTTTGTTTTGTTTGTTTTTTTTGTTAGATATCCATCAATTCTCTGTTCTGTATCAGTAAACCTGCGCTATCTCCGTAGAAACATCCCAGGGGTTGTCCTCTTCTCTCCCTCAGTAAGATGGCACTTGGTACCCTTTGAGGCTCGGGTCCACGTTTTCAGTGAAAGGGGGACTCTGGTAAGTTTCTGTATTTTCTATTCCGCTGCCCGTTGGGTAACCTGGGTATCCAGGACTGGGTCCAGTGGCAAACTGATCCGTGGCAAACAATGACATATCTGTCCCTAGTCGATATCGTTGCATTGCTTTAAAGGTTAGGGCGACCTAAGTGAGATTTAGGTTAAAGTGTTAGTAAAGATGTTATAGAAAGGTTAAGACATGCTTGGTAAATAAAAGGTTAATGTATAACTCAAGCCTAGTCAACGGATCAATGGCAGCTCAAAACCTACTGTTGATATGTTTTTCCCACAATCCTTTGCTTCCCTTGCATTAGAATGTTGTGTGGAATTCTCATCATAGACCAAAGGGGGTAATCGAAATACCTCAATATTTGGCTCAGTAGCCCAAAAACACACACAGCAAGTCCAAGATGTACATACAGTTTCAAACTCCTAGACACACACACACAGATACAGACTCCTAGACACCCACAAACACTCTGATACAATTATTTGCACACTGATTTTAGCCAGCCAGCCGTAATCCATAAAACATCGCAAACGCCCAGCGCTATTGCCCAAGAGAGCCTTCAAACAGGGCCATGCAGTCTGGGAATGGGCCATGTCTTTTACAATGTGATTACACCCTCCGGTGTTTGCCCTGGAATGTCACAGTTTGACAGCACATTACTGGTCTCTTCTTTGCTATGTCCTAATGGCGGATACGCCTCATGGGAAATGTAGATTGGAAACGTCTAAGATGTCAAGGTTAGCCATCAGTGGCTTAGGATAATGGGAGCTGTACTCTGACTCTACCACTGTTACACGTGATCCCTGTTATAGAACTGCCAGGTTATAATGTAACTTCTGCCAGTCCGTGTTAGTTAGGGGTTAATGGGATGAGTCACGAGCAATGTTAGGCTAACCGCTCTTACGGACCGTATCCCAAGCTGATTACTGAGAGCTTGGCGGATGACAAGGAGGATTGGAAGGGCTTGAAACACATCTTTGCTCTTCTTCGACAAAGGCTAAACGTTTAAACCTCTCCAGGGTGCAGAGTGACAGATAGCCCTGGAATACAATGGGATATTTACTGAGAAAATGATGGACTGCATAAACCTGTAAACATCATCGAACTGGAGGTTCATCACATAGATTTAGAGCGGAACTGCAACCCCCCCCCCCTGAAATGAGTATTAAATATTTAATGAAGATAGAATTTTTGTAAATACTGATTTTACTATAGGAAATTCACTGAAATTTCAACCCAGTCAAAAGATATAGAGAGACAGAGTAGGGACTAATTTGTCTTTGTATTTCTCCCCCGCCTGACTTCCTTAGATCCCCCAGACGGAATTGGCTGAGTCTGTGGAGGATCCCAAATAGACCTCAATGCTGTGGTGGAGCTCACAAAGGACAGGTCAAGGTAACTAAACTCAACTTTACCTGCCTCTCCTGGCCACCGGACCCCCAACGCCAATGTCACCGTCTGGGGTCTTTGCAAATTCAACAAAGTACCCAGACAGTGACATAACCACTTTAATTGAATATACTAGATATTATCTCC